TAATCAGAAAGATTATGAGCTGCCTATTTTCCAACTCACATGTTATATTCCCCTTCCCTGTCATTTGAGAATCAGTCCAGTCTGCCCCTTTTAACCAGCACAGCTGATTCAATGCAGCTTAATTTAGAAAATAAATCCAATGCTGTGTATTAATCACAGAAGCATCCATTCCTTAATAGCATTAAATTACAGGAGGAATATGCCTCAAAGTGCTTGGAGTGAGTAGGATAGATGCAAAATTTCTCTCAACTTGAAAGGAAAGAAGGAAGACCTTTTCATTAGCAAGTACAACCTCTTCAGAATGTAGCCAACTCCTTGCACTTCACTTTGGCTTGTTTCAACTGCTTGCTTCCTTGGAAGGGGAAAGAGGAGCTAGAGAGGAACTTTCTTATCAGTCTGATACCACCTTATTCTCAGCACATCCCAAGAGAGAGAAACACACACATTTGCTTGACTGTAATTACTAAGACTTCTCTAGTTGAAGATCTTCAGGAAGAAGAAACTATGAAATAATTTTAATACAAACAAAAGCATTAATGCCTACTCTTGAATTTGCTATCCAATTTGCATACAAATAAAACCAATATGAACAGTATTAGTTAAAAGCAATAAGTTTTCTTTTCCTTTTACTATTTTTATCTGCACTTGCTTTATAAAGAAATCCCATCACTAAGATCAGACATTCACTGGTCTATAAATATTGATGCATTTAGGGACTTTTTACCAGCTATTAAAAGAATTTCTGGAAAGTCATCAGAAATCATATAATATAAGTTCCCTCTCACAAACAAGAAGGAAACCTGTAACTGCAGATCGCCCAAACTCTATCCTAGAATTGAGAGTTTTCTTTCACAGACAGTTCTGTAGCCTAAAGAATTGTATTTTCCAACTCTTAGCACTATTGAGCCACTTTAGACCCAATCACTTGTGCTTGTTTTAACATAGCAGGAGACTTAACAGATGTGAGAGATAATTCAAGATCATTCCTCAGGACAGTGCCTAGAGAATGATACTTTCCATGGCTCTAGACCTGCTGTTACTTTTATAACTTAAGTACATAACTTTACCATTAAGGTAACTACAGCTTGAGTAATAACCAATCTAGGTTTATAAGGAGCTGACAAGTCTTAGCTGCATATAACATTGCGGAAAATTGCCCCTCAAATCCCCATAGCACACTAGCCTCTGACTGAAACATTGTTTTGCACTACCCCAATTCCTCCATCCATTCATTTCTAAAGCTCAGCTGATACTTGATTTAAGGGGTACATTTACTTACTCATTCCTCCTTCTTCCTAATAAAGAATCTAAATACATTTATTGAAAAGCACCATTAGAAAAAAACATATCTTTACGCTGCTATGGACACAGCAAGCAAAATGAAAGTCAACACCTTTCAGCATTTTTCTACTGAGAAGTCAAATAAAGAGACTGCCAATAAACTGCCTGTGGTCACCTAATACTTAATTAAAAGATAAAACACACATTCTTTTCTCAGACCACATGCATCATAAAGCCTTTCAATTCTTTTTACCCCTACAGACAATCTTATTCCAGATGATTAAGGTTATTTTATTCATATAAACACCTTTCTCCACTGCAGGAGCCTCTCATACTTGTTTTTCAAATTATTATACATTACTGTGCGAAGGCACCACAGAGCAGCATTAGTCACTAGGGTGGAACCCAGCATAGCTCAGTTATATTAGCAAAGGAAACGCATGTTCTATAACAATTAGTATGCAGGCTACTCATAAATGAAGAGCCTAATTTTCTTTTAGAGTCCAGAGTTGATGAAGCAAACCAAACTGAACAGTAAACATCTCCATATCTTGATTAAGCACAACACTAACACTGACATAATGCAGTTGGTAATAGAGAATTTTAGAAATCCAGCCTCCAAAGCTTGGGGAATAAATCTCTCCAGGCATGGCTTCATCTGCTGCTAGGCTAGAGGGGTCAAGCAATGCAAGCACAAACATACATCGGAGAAGGGCTTAAATGATCTCTTTCACATATTCAAGCAGGCAGCTATGATGAATCCTGATCTCTGCAATAAGGAGTGGACTTTAAACAGCAGCTCACAACTCTATTATTGGTTTTCAAAATACCAACTCCCAGTGGCTAAATAACTTGGACATATCTGCATTCAGTCCATTTTGCACGCAAAGAACTGACAACTACTACTCGGACAGGAATTTAGGCTCTGCCAATTTTCTTAGTTGATATATTATCCCTCTGCCAAACCTGCTGATCAAAAGACAGCTGGGAAAGCACAAGCCAGAATTTCTATTTCAAATCTAATAGTCTCCATCTCAACTATAACACAATTGATGCGATACACGGTTATTTCTCTTCTAAAGAATACAAATATTCTTTCCCTTCTAAAGATTTAAAACTTAAGTCAAAATACTAATGCTGTGTTCCCCTTTTTATATACTTGCATATTTCAAATGAATATGGTGCAAGCTTAAAGGATTCTGAAGAAAGCTTATAATCTTTTAAAGACAAAAAAAAAAAAAAAAGACACAATTAAATCAGGATGTACAAGCTGTTCTTTCAGAATTCCCAGGCAGAGAAAAGACCACAATCTTCAGCCTTTAAGAAATCTCCTCTTCCATGCAATCAAGGATGGGAATAAATCTGATCTTTCAAAAGAAGAAAAATAATGCTAAGTTTCTCTTGGAATACCCCAGCAAGGCTACCCTGACTGCAAGAGGTCACTGGGGACACCGAGCAGGAGCTTACTCAGACCGAGTCAGACAGTCACAGCATTAAGCAGGGTACTAACATACCAGAGAGGATTACCTACCTAGGCAGTTAACACAGAAAAACCACTAGCTCAGGCCTGTACCAATCCACTGCAAACCCCATCATCAATCACAGACTGCTCCAAGGTGCAAGATCAATCATGTTACCTTCCTGGTTATTAGAAAAAGCAGACACAGCAGAGGGAAGAGAAACCTAAATTTTTGACGCATTCTAAAAGACCTACTTTTATAATACAAAAAGCTATTTTTAATTTGTAAACATCCCTCTCCCCATCACCCCTTCCTTCAAACAGCAGTTTTCAAAACAGCTTCCCAGAGCTTTTCAACCATAACTCCTTCACACCTCCTTTACAGTGTCACTGATTTGAATTAATCTGATCAATTTTATATAGCCAGTAAAGTCTTCAGGTAAAAATCCATGTCTAGTGATATCTGAAGCTATCAAGTTTAAGACCAAAAAGGCTGCGGGTGATTACATGGTAAACAAAATGCAAAAGGAGTCTGGTCTAGGAGCTTCTGTGAAGGAAAACAAATATTGACTAATTGATGAGTGATAAATTTAAAGGTGGCACAAATTGCAGAATTCAGGAACAAGCTGATGCCAGAAACTTACAGTACGATGACCAGATACTGACAGCAACATGGAAAATAATTTCAGCTATCAATCACTGGAAGCACCTAAAACCATACTTTATATAATAAAAAATGGGCAAGATGATGTCTACTGTGGCATTATAGCACTTCTCCCACCTGCGCCAACCAAAGCAGTTTGTGTGATAGTGCTGGATGAGGTAGCCGACTGAATTGATCCAGAAATCCAATTCTTCTCTTGCTGATTAGAGATTATCTCTAGAATAACAAGTGCTGGGCATTATTAGACATTGTATGAATGACGGAGGCACAGTTCTCCCACGTTTTTGATGATTTCTACCCCTCAGCTATCAAGATGAGCTAAAAAAACTAAGTTTTGCAGCTGAGCTGAATACATTCAGACCAATATTCTGGAACTGAAGATCAAGCCATTAAAAAGAAACTAATGTTTATTCATTTATACGCCCAAGACATGTGTCTATTTTCACTGCACTTATACAAAGCCTCTGTGCCGAGCAAGGACAACGTCTTCCCTGACTCCCCTGCTCAGGAAAGAACCCTCAGTGATGAAACTCGTTGGCCAGATCCAGCCCAGGAGACAGCAACTGAAATACAGTTACTTTCAGTTTTGTTTCAGAGGCTTTGGCATCATGGGCTTGCAAAATCTATATTTCAAGGTAACATATTTTCTCTTCCACTACCCTTAAACTTTTAAAGCAAAGCTTCAACCAGAAGCTACCCAGTTGCAGTGATGATCTCACACAGCAGTGCCACATCCAAACAACATCTCAGAGTGTGCATTAAGGGCATTAAGCAGCAGTACTATTGCAGCATGCAGATATTAGCCTAGCATGAGGCTGCAAACAGCCTCGTGCAGCTCAGCCCATCACTGTGGGACTGCTGCTGCCCATACAGCCCTCAGACCTGTTCCCTTCCCTGGAGCTGTTCCGCACAGGGGAGAGAAAGGGGCTGAAAACACAGGAGAAACTGAAATTATATCAGCATCCATTACTCATTTGTTCCTTAATTTGGCTATACTGACTTTTATTTAAGAATATCCATCTCAAAGTGTTGAACTTCAAGACAAATACAACATTTGGAGCCTCTAGGTTCCAGAAAAACAGCTATATTCATTTTATAACCAAGCCCATAGTCTACCTCCTTATCTCTACACTAACGAGACAGCATTAATGTCATAAACATCCTGCAGGATTTCTTCTCTTTTTTTTCATTGCTAGGATTTTTTTTTTAAATAATTTGGGCAACAGAAACATTCCATAAAGCAGTTAGTCATTTCCTTGTATTGTAACTTCTAATATTGTAAAAAAAGGCAATGCTACCTCCCCCTTTATAGTGATAGATTCTGGGCTATGAAATCTCAGCGAAAGAGAAAAAGAAAGAACCTACGAGATATATTGCGCAGCTCCACAAAAGTCTTAATTATTTTCTGCTAGGGAACATTGATCTAAACAGCAATATCAGGAAGTTAGAAACTACCAGACTGATGGATTCATTCTTACACCGGGCTAAACGCACCCCTGGCATGCCTGCCTGCCCAGGGCAGAGGAAGGCAGCATCCTCTCCCCAGTTCAGAAACAAAACAGCTAACCAGAAAAGATCCAGAAATAAACATTAAGAGAAATACAGAGAGCTACCACCAGCTCGGGGAAAAAAAAAAAAAAAAAACACTTTGGCTCTCAGATGCAGAGCAGACAAGTGCGAACGCAGTACAGACCTGTGGACTTAGCAGCGGCAGAGGAAAGACGAGCACCGGGGCTCTCACAACGCAAAGCCAAAAAGAAGCAAATGAAGGCAGCCTTGCCCCGAAGCAGCTCCTCCAAACAGAGGCAGATTCTTCACGAACTTCCTTAACGGCGGAAGCCCTCGCTTCCAAATACCCGCGGACGCCAAACGTTTTACCCCGACTC